GCATTGAATACTCGTGAGAAAAAAATAGCCAAATGCCCGTTGAGCATAATACTTTACATGAGTCGAATGTCTCCGCTTTGCTGAATCATTTCCGCCTACCCACACTTTCTATAAATTCTACTTCTTGTACTCTTGCAGAAAGGATATGTCTAACAGTAGTTGGAGAGAAGAGCAGGTTACACCCTGGGTCGCAGAGGTGGTCAAATATAAATACCTGATATGTAAACTTGTCTTCATTTCATTTTATGACTACGAAACGACAAAAAAAAAAAAAAAATCAAAGATTTTTTTCTTCTTTTTCTTCAAGCATTATTTTCTTGTGCTGGAAAAAATAAATAAATAAATAAGGAAAAATGTACGGGTAGCGTAACGGTTATCGGCGTTGAAATTGACGAGCCGGGTTCAAGTCCCAGCCCAGTCTGTTACGTTCAATTCTTAATGATATCCTATTTTTCTACACTGGCTTAAATAGAAGAGTAGACTGGTCTTTTTAGCTTTGGGTGAGAAGGACAACTAAGAATTCAAAACCTTTTAATAATGCAACGGGAAACCAATCCGCTATATTCCTTAAGAATAATCATAGTAATTTGCCATGTTTGCCATCGGTCTGAGGAAACAAAACATTTAAGAAAGAAATTAAGAAAATTTATAAGTCTCAAGCAAAGATCTATTGAATCCACTTCTAATATAATAGAAACGAAATTTTCGCGCAATATACAGGGGAAAATGCCACTTACATGGTTTAGTTATCTCCAATTTGTAATTTGCATGTTGGGTTGTCCCTTTTTGCTAACAACCATGCATTCTGTGTTTGTCAATTATTATTAGAGATTAGTTCTTTTTCTTGCTTCCCTTTAATACTTTCTGTAGTGAATTCCTGTAGTTTCCTCTCTCTATTTTCTTTAAACACTGTCATCTGCACATTTAATGTTGTAAAGATTGTAGCCCCCAATAATGAATCCTGGTCGGACTCTAATCCTCTCAACATTGCTTCACTGTAAAGGTTTGAATAAATTTGGCGGGAAAACAGTAGTAATGTTATAAGAGTCAATGAATGGAAAACCGAGAAACGTTATAAATGTTAAAGAGTCTATCATGTAAGCAATAAAATATTTATTTAGGTATATGGGATATAAAAAAAAAAATGATTTAGGTCTACGTTATATTGTGTCTTATTGCCTATATCAGACATGGGCAGATTGCGGCCCCCGGTTCATATACAACTAATTTGGTTTTCTGAATTGCACACCTAATTTCACCAGGAAAATATATTTAGTCAAATTTTGTTTATTACGTTCTCATTTGTTCACTCACACTTTCTACTGCATAATAACAGATATAAACAATGATTAAGTAGAAAGTTTTTTTGATTTTTTTTAGTCTTCTTTTGGCGGTAAAGTTTTCAGCATATTAAACCATTGGTCATTTTCACTAAGAAATACCATACGTGCAAATATCTTTTGCTTTAGAGACCAGAAACGGTCATGATGATTTTCTTTTCTCTGGAGAAGAAAAGAAGTTTTTATTTAAAAAAAAAGAAAAGAAAAGGATTTTGCATTTTAAAATTATTAAAAAAAAAAAAAGGTTTTAATTAATAAATTAGAAATAAATCACACGAAACGACACGTGTTAATCAACATGTAATAAAAGATCATATTATACCAAAACTTCAATTTTTTAATTATAAAAAACTCTTAAAAGAAAAAAAAACAACTTTTTCCAATTTCTAAAACATGTTTACACGTATGATCTGTTGTAGTAAAAATGATTAAGGCAGCTTCAACAAAAAATTACCTTGAATCTTTTTAGTAACGCCTTCCGTATTCCACTACTAAAAAAGGTTGCCCATGACTGGCCTATATATTTGTATTTTTTGTTTTGTCATGTCGTAATTATTATAACATTTACAAGAAAGAAATAGAAAATTAAAAAAAGCAACAAAAATAATCTCGTGCTTTTTACTGAAATATTTTTTCTTCAATTGTATGATTTCTTTAATGTAACTATTTCACTTTTGTATGTTACTTGAGGGAAAAGAAGGAGAGAAAGAAACAGTCAGAAAGAAAGAGCTGAAATTTCTGGGACACAATGAGGAAAGAGAGTGTGGAGAATTCGACACTCACAGGACATAGTGAAGACCAGAGAAGCATAGAAAACAGCGGGTAGCCTTCTTGACGAGTTTATGTGAACAGATGGTAAAACAGGTATAAAGAGGAGTGGTAAATGATTAAAAGTTTTACTGAGCAAAAGAAAACAACAGGAAGATGTTGAGAGCTATGACCGCTCATACCTTAAATGGATAGTGCTCATAAATGAAAGGCGGAAAGATTATTTCCCTCATCTTTGCCACTTTTCTCTCCCTTCTAAGGTTTTCTTTTACTTCTTTATAAATAGTTACTTTATGTACTTAAGAGAGACAAACAAGTGAATAATATAAAAAAAAAAATACAACGAAAAACAAAAACAAACAATTCGTCCTTCTCCCTGTGTGGGATATCTAAGTGTTCATAGGTATGAGGGCGTGTTCCTTCTGGTGCCCTCCCTCGTTGAATGTCATAAAAAGAACCATTCTGGTTTTGAATTAGACGAGCAGAGAAATTAATACGTTGAGAGGCGGGCAGATTAATGGGTACAGAAGAGAAAGACTGTTAATTTCCCCGTCACTCGCTCCCCCCTCCCTATCGCCCTCTCTCTGTTTACATTTTAAGAAGAAAATACTTTCATAGTTTTTATTATTACATGCATATTATATATATATATATATATACTGTGTATTTAGGCAGCAAATGAGTTTGATAGAAATGTTATTAAAGACAACAAACATTTTGTGTCTATTAATTTTATAAAAAGACTTGTCCAAATTATGAATAATCCTTCTCAAATAAGAAGGAAATTCCGTCAGAAATTGTCCAAAGTTCATTTCGGAAGAAATATGGATAGTTGATTTTGTTTAGCGGCATGTCAACACCTCTATGGGTTATTTAATGCCGAAATCTAAATATTTTGAACGTAATTGTATACTTTCAAATACAGATAAAATGTATTGTTGGTCATTTTTACTATAAAGATATGTTTTTTATACTTTCATAGTGTTGTTTTGTTTGGAAGTTCCCTATTTGCCCGTAGCTGGGACCACAACAAGTGCTACCACCCCGGGCGAGGGTTGACCTGGGAACGACAGCAAGACTCCCCAGCAGCGAGAGGTGACTCCACGCTCCTCAAAACCTCCAATCTCCCACTCAAAGGTCGTGCTGCCGGATGTAGTTTATCGTCAGGACTAGAAATATGGTCCAAGCTTCAGACTTTCTTAAGTCATCATCAGGGTAGGTAGAGACAAATAGCGAATTTAGTAGAACAAGTGAGTGCTGTGATATGATTAGTGTATGTGTGTGTGTGTGTGTTAATAAATCTGAGAATGTAGGCTCTTAAATTATAATTGTGTTGAATTATAGATGTTTGTTTCTGTCGAATGAGTACACACACGCACATGTCACACCTTGTCGCAACATTTATTGCCTACGTCACTCCATTCACTACCAGAGCCTACCTGTGGTTTAGTTTGAAACTCTACCGAATGGAGCCTATATATAGATATATAGGCGGACCCTATATATGGATACATACGTGCACATTGAGGTGAACACCTAGCAGTGACAGTTTCTTATGATTAAACGCAATCGTTATGCCTGACGATTGCGTTTATATTTACATACGCTCTATTTCTGAAATTGGGCGCTTTAGCTCCTAATTATAGCATACCTTAAAACTATATATTTATCATATATATATATATATATATATATATATAGGTACATATGCAAAAATTCTTAACAGTGTCTTTTACACGATGTTAGAGAAATCTTAGAAATGTCTAGAAAATGTATTCAATTATTGCTTGTACAACCCATTATTTACAGACCTAAGTAAGAATTCAGAAGCGAGAGAAAATAATTCCACATAAATTTAAAGAAAGAAAAGTCGGCTAATTCATAAACACTTGTCTTTCTCTTGTTTCCTGGTAGAGAAAAGTGTTTATTTGGACAAGATGGTCACTGTCAGGAAAAAAAATTATTTATTTCGAGAAATCCTCAGAAAGAAAAATTATGGTTAAATCCAAAAGAGACTTTGACATCTCAGTCTAAACAAGAGTCTACTGGCGGAAAAGATCTTTGAATAATTGAAAGGGAATTCTTTATTTTGCATAGATTGGAACATGAAGAACGTATTGCTGCGCAAGCATTCCGTGAGCAACTGGCTCGTTCGAATGACAAAATTTATTTTCCTGCATGACAGTGCCCATTTTCCGATTGCAAACGTAAGAAAAAAGAAGAATCTTAGAAGTTCTTTAATATGCAACCGTTACTAGAAATCAGTCACAGGTTGTGCGACATATTTTTGTTCAGAATTGCAAAGAAATTCAAGAGATTAAAAAAAAATTCTCGAATAATCAATTGAAAAAAACAACAAAAAAACAGAATTGTTATATCATGAGACATAATTCCCTTGAAAGTAGGGATAAGATAACTGAATAATGATTCATTGAATTGATATAAATAAATAAAAAAAATCTTGTCAGAAAAGATGGAAACATTCCGAAAACAATTACTAAACGTTGAACTTTTCATCATCTGTGACGTAGTGGATAGCGGCTTGGATTGAGGAATCGGAGAGCCGAGTTCGAATTCTAGTCGAATCCATTACATTCACTTACGAGGTAATACTCTTGGGAAGGGTGTGAATCCTCTTCTTCTCTCTATGGGTAAATAGCAGGACAGACTGGGTTCTATAGCCTTGGATGGAAACTAGTCTAGGAGAAGAACAACTCTGAATTCAAAACCTGCGTAGGGTGGTTTGGGGACCCTGTGGCACGTAGTGCACCAAGTCTCTGTATTTGGCCCTTCAAAAAGTGTGGATGGTTCTGCACAAAACCTTCACCACTATAATGAAATTATATGCTGGTGCCGGGCTGTCAGTTTCCTAGGAACTGATCTGCTTGACCC